TATAGTTAAATAAAAATAATAAAAAGGAGAAATTGACTGAATTTTCTTTTTTTTTTCTTAAAGATTTATTTATTATGTATACAACATTCTGCCTCCATGTATGCCCACACGCCAGAGGAGGACGCCAGATCTCATTACAGATGGTTGTGATCCACCATGTACTTGTTGGGAATTGAACTCAGGACCTCTGGAAGAGCAGTCAGTGCCCTTAACCACTGAGCCATCTCTCCAGCTCCCTGACTGAATCTTCTTAAGTCTAAGTAAATAAAAGAATTAAAAAGAAAAAAGTATTAGGGTCTAGAGAGATGGCCCAGAGGTTAAGAGCACTGGCAGCTCTTTAGAGGTCCTGAGTTCAATTCTCCGGCAACCACATGGTGGTTCATAGTTATCTGTAATGAAATATGGTGCCCTCTTGTGGCATTCAGGTATGCATGCAGGCAGAACACTGTATCCATAATAAATAAACATTAATTAAAAAAAACCCAAACTTTATTTTCTTTATGTTTTAGAGATAGGGTCTCATTGTATCCAGTGTTGGACTTGAAACTGTTAAGCCAAGGGTGACTTGTTCTTTGGTTTGTTTTTGTCTTCTTGGGGAATAGTTGGCTAAGACTTAGAATAGTGCTGTATACGCTTTAAAATAAATTTACCTGATTATAAGTTTTTTTGTTTTTTAAAAAGATAATTGATACTCTATTGTTATCCCACTAGTTTTGTTTGTTTTTTGGGGTTTTGTTCTGTTTTTCCTTTTTTCTTTTTAGGCCTACATGGTTCACATGATGAGACTACAATAATCAACAAATCTTAAAAAAAAAAAATACAACCTGAAATTGAACAGTTTTGACGAAAGAGCTCCTTTCTTCTCCCATTAAACCTAATATTCTAGAACTATCTACTTGTTAGGTCATAGACATTGTACTGCAGTGGGGATTAACTATACCAGCTGCAGCTTCTTTCTTTCCAGGGCAGAGGCACCAGCATTCCAGTCTTGTATGCGGTCTGGTCCTATCACTAAGAAGCTAAACGCCTAGCATGTAGCAGTCCCCTAGTGGGAAGGGACAGAGGACTCACTTCCAGTTGGTCAGGCCTGCCTAGCCCCAGTGAAGGTTTTGTGATCTACCTGGTGTACAGATCAACAACACCACTCTGAACGTTGGCTTCCTCCTGCATGGGTCCCCTTCACTGTCGTCACCTGGGTATTCTTGCAGTCTCCTGTCTGCACAGAGCTGCCGAGGTGTCTCCAGTTCCTCTTCTCTTTCCTGTGCCTGGTGTTATTCCCAGGGCGGGAAGTTATCCTAGTATGAATCACAGGAGTTAGCCCAGGTTGGGGTTTGGCCTTGACCTTGCTCTGGGCAACCTGGACCCTCCTCTTCTGTGATTTCTTGGGTATCATACTTCTTGTGAGCCTTCCTAAACAGACACCGGTTTGCAGATGAGTTTCCTGAAGGTCCCTCCCTGGTTGTGGGTAGAGCTTATTATTCTAAAGGTTCCACTACAGAGATGTAGCTAGGGCTTGGGTTGCAGAAATGGTAGTGTCTTTCTCATCTAATTCTCAGTGGGGACAGCTGTTCAGTCTGGACAGGGGTCCTTGTTCCTCTCTGGAGTGTCTTCTGACTTGACCTTCTCCCTTCTCCTTCATTTATACTAATAACAATGCATACGCTCAAATTTCACCTCCCCATTGAACTTATGATGTCATTATTTCATTGTTTTATTTCTTTTTAAAATCTTGATATATAATTCTGCTCTTGAAGAAAGGTGCCTTATCAATGCTTCAGAAACTACATAGCTAGATTTCCTAAAGTTGTGGAACATATTAACATTGAAATGCACAAAACATAAGAATTGACTTGTCAATTGAAGACCGTGTAACTTTATCCCTTGAGAGAAGTCTTCGCTTCCCAGAAGGCCTCCAAGCTCGTCATGTGCTCTTATGCTCTGTAGCACCTCCCACTGTTACACCCCCAACACCACTGTACTGGTGGGGGTTTAATGGGAACCTGAGGGTCAGGCAGAGCTTAGCCACCCTCACCTTTCCAGTCAGAGCAGCGATGCTCCAGTGAGCTATGGGCATCAGTGTTGGTGTGGCGTCTGCTTTTCTGTCTTTACTAATTACATGTTCCTAAGGAGCAGTCAGACTTGAGATTTGAGCCTGTGTATACATGGAAACGTATAGTGTGCCTCTAGTGCCGTTAACCATTCCATATTGTTTAGTCTACGTATTCCTTGCTTTCTGTTTTCATCTTGGAATAATGTTCCAGGCTGTGACTTTATTGTGTGATTGCAGGAAATTGAGTTTGTTTTATAACATTTAAAACAGTACAATTTAAATTTTTGTAAGATTGGTTTGACAGTGTCCCCGCCTTCACATTATCTTTTGTTTTAATATATATCTTTAAGGTTCTTATTTCTAAATACAGTATCACCTATAATTTATTTTTTTCTTCCATTTTCCTCTTTGGTGATTTTTAATGATGTGTTTGTGTAACTGGGTTTGTGCAGACGATTACTGGTGCCCATGGAAGCCAGAAGGCATTGGATCTTCTGGAGCTGGAATTTGAGGTAGTTGGGCCACCTGACATGGGTGCTGGGAATTAACTTTGGTCCTCTTCAAGAGCAGAATGCACTCTTTAGCAGCTGATTCTTCTCCAGCCATCTCTTTGGTATTTAATAAAACAAACTACCTTTTTTTTTTTTTTAACACTTTATCTCTGTGAGAGCCTTGATTTTTGTTTGTTTGTAGCTAACCTTAAACTCGGCGATCTTCCTGCCTCTGCCTCTCAAGTGCTGGGATTTTTTTAATGGTTATGCGCCACCGTGTGGTTGCTGGGAGTTGAACTCGGGACTTCTGGAGGAACAGCCAGTGCTCTTAGCCACTGAGCCATCGCCCCAGCCCCCAAGTGCTGGGATTTAAGTGTGTGCCACAACTCTTGCTCAGTGTCTGTAGTGTAAATGTTTAAACTCTATCAAAAGGCTAAGAGAGCCTAAACATTTCTTTCTTTATTATGACAGTGAAACCCATCCGTAATCTAAATGGACATTCAATTGGACCTTATAGAATACACGCTGGGAAAACGGTGCCCATTGTGAAAGGAGGGGAGGCTACAAGAATGGAGGTATGTGAGTCATTTCCGCAAACAAGGGGCGCTGGTATGCTAGGAAGGTGCACTACCGCTGCCCCCCTTCAAACTCCCACACCAGCCCATGTCAGTTTTGATAAGGGATATCCAGTGACAAAGGCTGAGCAGCCAGGCCGAGTAAGACTTTGAGAAGCCTATTTCCTGTTACTTCTTTATTTTGTGGGAAGCTGATTAATTGTGAATTGTTTTTCTCTCTTTGGTCCTTCTGTGTTTTGAAGGAAGGAGAGGTGTATGCCATTGAGACCTTTGGTAGCACAGGAAAGGGTGTTGTTCATGACGACATGGAATGTTCACACTACATGAAAAACTTCGATGTGGGACATGTGCCAATAAGGTGAGACTATCGATCTCTTCTAGGGTAACAGTAGGACAGACATACTGGGTGAGATATTTATAAATGCTACAGTTTGGAGTCTTATCGGTTTCTGTAATACAACAGAAAAATTACCATGGGGTGAAAATGAGAGTGGCAAACATTCAAACAGTTACTGATAATGCAGTATTTGTTTCCTGGCATTCTAGGTTTAGGAGGGTCTCGTCTTACCCCCCACCCCCACCCCCTTGGTTTTTTGAGACAGGGTTTCTCTGTAGCTTTGGAGCCTGTCCTGGAACTAGCTCTTGTAGCCCAGGCTGGCCTCAAATTCACAGAGATCCGCCTGCCTCTGCTTCCCTAGTGCTGGGATTAAAGGCGTGCGCCACCATGGCCCAGGTTATTTAATGTTTTTCCTATTGGTAAATGTCCTATCACAGTTGACATGGTTTTTTTACTCTTGATAGAGATTGGTTATAGGTTGGATTCGTGCTTTCATGGGAGAGTCTTCCACCTTCTATAATTCTCATTTAGGAATTTAGCACACTTAAGTGATCTTCAGCGGATCATGCTCAGCTGTGTCTTTGGGCCATTACATATTTCAGTAATTATCAGTAAAGGAATAGTTAGTGTTGTGAACTCAGAGTCCAGGTGCAGTGCTAAGATTTGAATTTTATAATGGGGGAAATTGATTAGTTACCCAGCTATTAATCTTTGCTTTTCTCCTCTTAGGCTTCCAAGAACAAAACATCTGTTAAATGTCATCAATGAAAACTTTGGCACCCTTGCCTTCTGCCGCAGATGGCTGGATCGGTTGGGCGAAAGTAAATACTTAATGGCTCTGAAGAATCTGTGTGACTTGGGCATAGTAGATCCATATCCACCACTGTGTGACATTAAAGGGTCGTACACAGCACAGTTTGAACACACCATACTGTTGCGTCCAACTTGTAAAGAAGTCGTCAGCAGAGGAGATGATTATTAAACTAGTCCAAAGCCAACTCAACTTTGTTTTCTAAGCTTTGTTGGAACACATTATACCACAAGTAATTTGCAACATCTTGTCTGTGTTAACAGTGGACCTGTGTAATACCTTTATCCATGTTTCAAGGAGTTTGATCAAAGGCAGACTGTCTACATATAATTAACCCAGGAAAAGGCTTTCAAGACTTTGATGTTAACTGTTTCTCCCGTCTAGGAAACGCTCTGCTCCCTAGTTAGGAATTAACTTACACACTTTGTTTTGAAGACCTAAGCGATGCTTTTTGGATATTTATATTGCCATATTCCTACTTGAATGCTTTGAATGACTGCATACATCCAGTTCTGCACTTGTGCCCTCTGGTGTTGCTTTTTAACCTTCCTGAAGTCCATTTTCTAAATAAAAACATTTTCAGATCTGAGAGCTACATTTTAATGTCTATAGTTGTAATTCTAAGCAGAAAGTAGTTAAAGTATAGATGCTGTTCTTTATGCGGGCTGTATATACCTACAGATTTTCTGCAGGCAAGATGTCTGTCAGGTCTTCATATATGTGGAGTGAGCAAAAAGGAGTACGCCTCCTTAGGGGCGCTTTGTTTTTTTGTAGAAGCGTATTTAACATTAGTCTTCTTTCTTGTCATTGGGAAGGTGTACTTATTTATACATCGTGGGAAAAGATTGTGCCAACTTTAAAAACCTTCATGAATGAAAGTCCCTTAACTCAGTGGTCATATTTATAGGGTATGTAGTCGACAAATTAGGTAACAAAAACATTAAAGCCATAAGCAAGAGAAGTTTGGATCTTGTTCTAGTTAGAAAAGCTAACTTGAAATTGGACTTTTTTCTTCATAAGCCAAATACTCAACATTCATGGCCCTTAGCAAATTAAGTATCTTAACATCACAGATTACACCGTGGTGGCGCACACCTTTAATCCCAGCGCTCAGGAGGCACAGGCCTGATCTACAGAACAAGTTCCAGGACAGCCAGGGCTTTACAGAGAAACCCTTTCTCAAGCCTTCCTCCCCCGAAATGAGGTCCTTTTATAAAGTCAGGGGTGTTATTTTGAATGTAAGGATACAAAGTTTAGCTTGTTTGGAAGCCCAGTTATTTAACTGCTTAGATTCTTAAATGTGGTTTGATACAAATGTTCCATCATAGTTTGCTTTTGTTACTTGTCCAGATAGAGCCTTAATTTGTATATGCCTTAGCACAGTGATGCTGTATTGCCTCTGGGATGCTATGTGGTTTTAATTTTGTTTGACATGGTCCCTGAAGAAGAGAAACAAGATTTATGGACCCGGATCGTATTCTGCCTGAATAGCTGCTCTTTCTATGTTCCATCTCTAAGTGAATGCTGCTTTTCTTTGTGGGGAACAACCTAGTTTTCAGCTGTGTGTTTACAATGCTATTGTTCACATTGCTGCTCTTGAATACGATGTCTGTTTTGACACGTTTTGCAGGATGCTCCCCAGCTGGCTCCTTCTGTGGCTCTGGATTCACAGGCAGGTGATTTGAGCAGCTTGAGTCAGGATTTTCAAAACTGACTCCTAATGAAGCGCTTTAGGGTTTTCCAAGGTCTTTCTCAGCACATTCTCCTTCGTGCAGTCCAAACTTAGAAAGCTGTTGGGGGCATCATTCTGTCCCCAGATGGCTGGAAGTAGTATGGCCTTATAGTGGTTCTCTACCTTCCTAATGCTGTGACCCTTCAATATATAGTTCCTCATGTTGTGGTGACCCAACATAAAATGACTTCATAACTGTTATTTTGCTATTATTGTAAATCGTAACGTAAATAACCTGTTTTTGGATGGTCTTAGGCGACCCACAGGTTGAAAACTGCTGTTTAAGGAAAGCTGGCACACAGAAGAACCCTCCTTACTAGCTTTCATTCCTCCAAGTCATTGTCACTTTTAGTGATGGATCTCTTACTGGCAACAAGTCTTAGTTTGCTGTTATCAGTTGTGCCTTCAGTAAATTATTTACAACCCAAACTATTGGTTTTTTTTTGTTGTTGTTATTAAAACAACATGTTGAGATCTCAGGAATTTAATAAGAAATCTAAGTTTCTGTTCATCATTTGGGTTTTGTTTTTTCAAATTGCTCTCCTCTTTCCCCCCCTAAAGAGCAATTTTAGATTCACAACACAATCTAGTGAGAAAGTACTATAGCTCTGGTGTGCTACCCCAACACATGCTTAAGCCCAGGTCACCTTTGTGGTGACAGACAGCAGCACTTTGTGTTTTGTGCTCCTAAAAGTTAGGACTGTTCCTAACTTTTAATCCCAGCACTCATGCAGAGGCAGGTGGATCTCTGTAAATTCAAGGCCAGCCTGGTCTACAAAGCAAGCTCCAGGTCAGCCAGGGCTACACAGAGAAACCCTGTCTCCAAAAAGAAGAAAACCCACTAAAGAAAAAAACAATCCTCAAGCCGGGTGATGGTGGCGCACACCTTTAATCCCAGCACTTGGGAGGCAGAGGCAGGCGGATCTCTGTGAGTTCGAGACCAGCCTGGTCTACAAGAGCTAGTTCCAGGACAGGCTCCAAAAAACCACACAAACCCTGTCTCGAAAACAAACAAACAAACAAACAAAAAAACAATCCTCAAAATTAAAGGCTAGACTTGGTACCTTTACCACATAAATCTTTAATGAGGTACAGTTAACAGTTTAGGCAACAGTTTGCATAGGTACTGGTAAATGCACATCTTCAGGCCTGACCAATACCCAGCTGTATTTGGAACAAGTGATTCGTCGACACTCTTTTGCAGCTGTCAGCTGCCCCAAGTGACACCACTCTCATAGACCTGCTAGTGAGACCGCTTTCTGGCTTTAATAAACCCATGTTAGCAAAAAAGGAAAGGGACGAAGGCTCTCCCAGCAGCTGACAGGGACCTTGAGGTGTTAGAAACTGATTCGTAGGTTGGTGGAGCGCCCCTTTCTGAATAAATGAAGCTGGCAGCACCAGGGCTTTCCTTAGAACACAGCAAAAGAATTTTCTTGCTTTCAATAAAATTTTACATAGTGTTTTTAAAGAGGTAACCCTGGCCCTAAGAGGGTCCTAGTAGTTACATAATCCTAGCAAGAATAAAAGATTGACGCATAGGTTACTTTGGGGAAAAAAATGAGGTCCTGGTTATAGCAAATCACTCACTGGTCTTGAACAGTTTCTTCTGCCCTAAGCTTTTCTCCCCCTCTTGAAGACTTTTATTCCTTTGAACTAAAAAATCTCAAACATTTAAGAGCTCTACTAATGTAATTAAACACAAAATCAACTCATTCTCAAGATAAACTACATTTGTATGAGATCATATATTAGTTTGCTAAATTCAAGCTCTTGTGACTTCTTTATTAGAAGTGTGTACCACTGCCCACGGTTCCAAAGTTTAAAAGTACACCATAATGAATCTGCTGTTTTTGTTATGAGTTTGTACTCGATAAAGAACAATCACGGAAGCAATAAACTGTATAGTGAAAGACCAGCAACTGCGTTAAGTCTATTCCAAGCCTTGTGCTTCTGCACGTAGCCTCAGGAATAAACCTTTGGTGTTTGACTTCCAGTCTGTTTGCCTTTAAGGGAACAGAACTGAAGTGAGTCTATCAATGGCTTTCTTAGTCAGACTCTGAAGAACATACCCTTCCCATGTTCTATAGATTTAGATCTATAGAAAACAGCTACAAAAGATAAACAATATATATAAAATGATGCCACTTGAATTTCTTTAGTAGATTGCACAAATTCATGATTTGAGGCAATTAAGACATCAAAATATAAGAGGTAAACAATAGCCTGAGGTAAACAATAAAAGTATAAAACTCAAATAATTGAAAAATGTTTAGTTGGCCTATATTTGATATACATATATTTATAGTATGTAATAAAAACAAAACCTTTGTAGTTAAATACAAAATGTCTAAACGTAGCATGCACTGATCATAATTAAAAAATAAAAACAATGAGGCTCAGCATCGTAAGTCAGCCCATTTAAAAAGTATATATACAAATAATGAGCGCCCACTCTGGATCAGCTAAGGACTTCGTTAGAAGAGGCGTCGGTTTCTTCACTGTGATGCTGGCTACTGGACAAGAGCTCAGGAGGCAGGAGTTTAGAATGTCCGTTCTCAATAACTCGCTGGGTATAAAATAAGATATAAGCTTGGGCCTTGCGTACTTCATCCATAGTGCACATGCTTAGCTTGGAATTGTTACAGTGGACCCAGAACCCTAGAGTGAAGCAAAGAGAGTGGACGTTTGTAAAAGAGTTCCAAACGTGTCTACTACAAAAGCCTGTGTTCCTGAAGTTCCTGAATGAATGGAGTTTCCTGAAGGAAAGGTAACGGCTGCTTCATTTTCCTTATAATGGGAGAGTGTTACTCTAGTGTTGGGGAATGTTATTTTCAGGTGTGTGACTTTTGTTTACGCTGCATTTGTTTAACTCTGTGAAGCTGTGTTACTGTGCCTGTCTAAAGCACCTGTGGTCTAATAAAGAGATGAACAGCCAGTAGTGAGGCAGGAGCAAGGATAGGCGGGGCTGGCAGGCAGAGAAAATAAGGAGAACCAAGGAAGAGGAGCAGCAAGAGAACAAGGAAAAGACATCAGGGACCAGCCATCCAGCCAGTTCCGGGGAGAGAGAGGTAAAGAAAGGTACAGAAATAGAGAAAGACAAAACCCTAGAGGCAAAAGGAAGTCAGGATAATTTTAAGAAAAGCAGGCAAGAAACAAGCCAATCTAAAGTTGGGCATTCATAACTAAGAAATAAGCCTCTGTGTGATTTATTTGGGAGCTGGGTGGTGGGGCCCCTCAAAAAGCCAAAAGAGTAAGACTTGACACAGTACTCTAGAATTCCTTTAGGTTTCTTTTATGGCATAGCCTATTTTGTTAGTTTGGAGTTACAGAATCTGACAATGTATTTGGCATGCTCCATTCCCAGTGGAAATACTAAGTAATTAGTGCGGCAGCCACTGCCTACAAAACACAGTATACCCTAGTAGTTTCCTTTGTAGAAGAGCCAGGCTTTTTGCTGTCTGCACTGCTAGGGTGTGTGTATGTACGCGTGTTCATTTTTCAGTGGTCCAGTCACCTCTGCTAGGAAAAGGATTTTGCGTGTTAAAGTTGAACAAATATCTGTCATCTACCAGGTCATTAGATACCTTGATCTTTGATGAACCAGTGAACATAGGAATTATGACTTTTAGAAAAACTGGCCAGTACTGGGCCTAGTGTGGGAGATAGAGGCAGGGGTATCTGAGTTTGAGGCCAGTCTGGCCCTTGTGTGTGGCACACGTCTTTAATCCCATCGCTCAGGGGTGGCAGAGTTCAAGGCCAGCTTGGTATCCTTAGGAAATTCCGAAATAGCCAGAGATCCGTAGAGTATGGATTCCAACCCTGTAGAATACTTTCTATGCCCCTGCCCCCTATCAACCAGCAGCACTGACTGCGGAAAGCCTTTGTCCTGAAAGACGGCAAATGGTCAGGTGACTCAGTTTAGAAATTGCTAAGCACTAGCTTCAATTGTAACCCAAGATTTACCTCCTTCAGAATTGTAGCAGTAGGCAGTGTAGTGTCCTAAGCCAGATCCTTTCCCGTGGTGTATCACTACAGCAGATAAAGTGTAGATAAAGCATTCTGGACTGAGCGCTTTCAGGGTCTCCCTGCAGCAATAGGGCTCCATGTTTAAGGTTTCCTCAAAGACAACATGAACACCAATCTTCTCTCGGTTATTACGTCCTGACCATCTGGGAACAAACCAAAGGGAAACAATCAAGGGGAGAAAGTTTGCCGTATGTTAGCCTGGACAGCTTTAACAGTGGATCCCAGAAACCATGAAATACGAAGACTAAATGTAGCCTTTCAATACTGAGTTGGCTGTATGGGGATTTAGGCTTACTTTGAAAAAAGTCCCATCAAGATTGCTTCATTAGTTTAAGAATGCATACATGTGCTGGGAATCCTGTTGGGGCCTTGGACTTGATAGGCAAGCATTTGACCATTGTATCCCCAACCCTTCCATCAGTTTGTTACCATATGGAATTTTGTTGTTGTTTTTTGTTTTCAAAAGGTCTCATTCCCAAGTACTGAATTCCCAATGTGTTTTTTTCTAACTTCTAAGTGGGATTATAGGCTTAAAATAATTGTCTTTGATATAGAAATAAAACTTAGAAAATTATAGCTCTATGAGTTTTAAATTATCTGTTGAATGAAAGGACCATCTCAAGTGGGAGGCTTTGATGGGTTGGTATGAGGGAAAAAACCACACAGGTATCTCTTAATTCCTAAGAACTCTACACTAAGTAAGGGGATGTCAAGTGACAAACCCCCATAGTGTTACTTTCTCAGTGTGTCCCATTACTGCAACATTTTATCACTGTTTGGTACAAGAGGGAAAATCACAATCTAGATGTGCGTGATGCTGTGTATACCTGAATATTAAACAATAAATATATTAAATTCACACAGAGCAGGTCACAGTCCCTGCTGGGATATGTGATATACTCGTGGGCACTCAGGAGAAGGGTACTCAATTTGAGGCCAGCCTGGGGTACATTGCACAGCAAGTTCCAGGCTACCCCAGTGCTGGCTCAGAAAAACAGTAACAAAAGTGGGTGGTAGGGGTGTGGCCTTTAATCCCAGCACTCGGAAGGCAGAGGTAGGCGGATCTCTAAGTCCGAGGCCAGCATTGTCTACAGAATGAGTTCCAGGACAGCCAGGACTACACAGAGACCGCGTCTCAAAACCCAATAAAAACAAAACAAAAAAAGCAGCTCAGTTATTGAGTATGGATGATGTCTACTGTTCAAAGATAAAGACAGGAACTATACTTTTCTGCAGGATGTCATCCAGGAACCAAGTATTGGAATCTAGCCCATCATATATGTACGTTAAGTTCGGAAGCATCCTAAACAGAAAGAATGACAGGACCACGCGGCAGACAGCTGGCAGACAGCTGGGACTCACATCACTGACCTGAACCGTTTGAGATGTAGTCTGAGAACCTGAGGCAGGTGGCATATCATAAGCTGTTTCTGGGCTGCTGTGAGTACAATTGGTTTTGACGAAAACTTTCTACGCTTTGCTAAAATACGAGGAAAAAAAGAAAGAAAACTCAGTTTCATAATACAAGGAAAACTTAAGTAAACTCTTTCACATAACTCTCCTGCTATGTTAAGCCGCAGCAATGTGCTAGCGATGACCATAGGCTCTGACCCCCACGGAGTGCTTGATTTCAAACAGATGAGTAGTCAAGTTAGACGTGAAGGTCAGCACAGGACTCAGAGCCCTGGAAGGGGTGGAGAGGACTCAGCACATAAGAGCATGCGCTCTTGCAGAGAATCCAGACTGTATCCCAGGACCCACGTGGAGGCTCGCAGCTGCCTGCAGCCACAGCTCCAGGGGATGCCCTGCCCTCTTCTGGCCTCTGTGGGCTCTGCACACATGGTGTGCTTACACACAGGCCAAACACACGCAAAATTAAACTTAGTACACTGCTCTCCTTTAAAGGTAGATTTGACTATGCCAGTGACAGGAGAACGTTAAATCTTCCCCTACACATACTTAAATATATATTTTCCAGACTTGTAAGAAAACTGTCAGTCCGTTAGTTTAGTGCCCAGGCACGCAGGTGTGTACTGCCCAGAGCACGCCTCCACCCTCTCAGCCCCACCCCAGTCCTGGTGCAGCCAAGGGCTGCCTCACTCAGCACCATGCTGCTCTAGCAAGTAGAACTCTCTAATGTCTACTCAGGGACTATGCCCTGGACTCTGCTAGACCATCTCCTCCAGAGCTTCTGCTTGCTGGTCAGCAGCTGTCCTTGGGCTTGTATGACAGCTCTGACCATGGCAAAGACAACAGAGCCTCTCATGTCAGCTTGGAGCAGGTCCCACTAACTACTAGAAGCTTCTCCCCCAGGTATCCAGCTGCTGCTAACTTCTGGACTGCATGGGTATGGCTGCAGGGTGCCCGGCCTATGACTTGTAAACATTCCCCTTCATATATTAAGCAGCTATTTCCAGGCCTGCATTTGTCAGCCTCAACACACACACATGACTACAAGACCATAGCCTACATTTATAATACTGTCTACCTTAGGATTTGGTGATGAGGATATTTGGGACATTCTACTTTGAGCTGCCATGTGGGTGCTGGGAATCGAATCCTGGCCCTCTAAGAATGCCAGTGATATCAGCCATTAATCCATCTTTCCAAGAAGAATTTTAATGCCATCGATACTGACCATTTCAAAGGAGAAAAATATTACTTCTTTTGTGGAACTGAAAAATGCGTTTCCATAGCTCCTCTTTAAGCACTTACAGCTCCCTCGTTCTCTACTGCTAACCCAAAAAAGCACAGCGAGCCCGTCTATACTCACAGTTACAGTGGTCACACGTGTAGATTTTCCCTCCTAACGCTTCGGTTTCGGTAAATTTGCCCAACATATCAGTAACTAGGCATGACTGGGAGGTGGCAGCGTCTTTCCCGTTGCATTGGTATCTCTCGGGGAACTCCAGGGACAGGTCCCAGAACGGTTCTATTGTGTTTGATTTATTATCACACGCGAGACACGTAACCTGCAAAGAGAAACATAGCTCTGGTTTACAATCTTTCTGTCAAAACATGAACTTTCACTCCAGGCCATTGCCAGTGAACCATCCCAATGATGAATAGCAAGTTTTATAATCTGTCAGGACAGTTAACCACAATTGTTTTTTTCTTCAAGAAGATATTTATTAGGACTGGCAAAATGAGGCACCTGCTGCCAAATCTGATGAACTGACTTGGATTCTCAGGACCCAAAGGGAGGAAGGAGAAAATATCCTCTAAGTTGTCCTCTGACATCCAAATACCACACACACACACACACACACAGAGAGAGAGAGAGAGAGTTGTCATTTTAGACTGTCCTTACACACACACACACACACACACAGAGTTGTCATTTTAGACTGCCCTTACACACACACACAGAAAGAGAGAGGGTTAACATTTTACACTGTCTTGACACACACACACACACACATACACACAGAGTTAACATTTTACACTGTCCTCATAAACTCATTACAAAGGTGGGCTTTGATTACTGGCCCATCAATAATGGCGAAGCACACCTTAACCCCAGCAGTGGCTCTCCAAAGCTTGAGGTCACCCAGAACCCAGATCTACATAGTGATTACAAGGCAAATAAATGCTACTCTGTGAGACACTGTCTCAAAAAAAAAAAAAAAAAAAAAAAAAAAAAAAAAAAAAAACCTAGCGGGGAGGGAGGTAGGGGCTCACGCCTTTGGTCTTAGCAGAGGCAGATGGATCTCTGAGTTTGAAGCCAGCCTAGTCTATAGAACAAGTTCCAGAACAGCTAAGACTACATAAAGAAACCCTGCCTCAAAAAACAAAAACAAACAAAAAAAAAACCCTCCAACATTAGTCAAATCTAGGATTTAGGGGAAAAAAATATACAAGACCCATTTAATAAGCAATATATTTGTATGTGTACAAATGCAATATATAGTTACATGCATTCAATACATATATGTATACATATATATACAATATGTAATTACATGCATTTAATAAGCAATGCATAGGTATATATATATATATGATGGAGGTGGGTCTTGTAATAATAAAGAAACTGCCTCGGCCCTCATACGACAGAAAAGTAGGTAGGCGGAGTAGACAGAAGAGAATGCTGGGAAAAAGAAGCTTAGTGGAGGAGTCGCCATGATTCTCCCGCTCCAGACAGACGCAGGTTAAGATCCTCCCTGGTAAGCCAGCTCGTGGGCTACACAGAATATTAGAAATGGGTTAGAACAATTCTAATGGGTAAGAGCTAGCCAATGAGAAGCTGGAACTAGCCGGGCCAGGCAGTATTTGAAAGAATACAGTTTCCGTGTAATTATTTCTGGGCATAAGCTAGCCATGCGGGCGGCCGGGTGCCGGGGACGCAGCCCTGCCGCTCCTATTTCAACATATATACATTATATAGTTATGTGTATTTAATGTGTATGTGTACATATTATGGTTACATGCATTTAATAAGCAATGTATATATGCGTGTGCACATACAATGTATATATACGTGTGCAGTACAATGTATATATGCGTGTGCACGTACAATGTATATTTGCATGCATTTAATGTATATATGTCATTAGACTGGAGGTTTATCACCTTTTCCTTCTTTGTCTATCATTAATTTGTTTATTTGTTTGTTTGTTTGAGAGGGTCAGTGACTCACTTTCTAACCCAGGCAAGCCTGGGACTCTATGTGAAACCTAGGCTAGCCTAGATTAGGTCCCCAGCATGAGAAAACAAAACCCAACCAAAATATAAAAAGCAGTTGGGAAAATAGTTCAATCTCATAAAGATCTTAGTTCCATGTCCAGAACCCCCACATCCCCCATCCCCAATGGACATATGCAAAAACAGGAATTCTAACAACCACAGGCAATTAGTGATTGGGATGCTTAATGCTACCAATGTAGGCAGATACAAAACTGTTTTGAAAAGAACAATCGAAAAATGTTTAAGATTTATTTTTAAGGGGACTGAAGAGATGGCTCAGTGAAGAGACGGTTAAGTGAGTTTGAGGCCAGCCTAGTTTACAGAACTCATTCCAGGACAGGCTCCACAGAGAAACCCTGTCCTGAAAAACCAATGACTGAATAGATGAACAAATTAATTAATTAATTAAAAAGTATTGACTGACCTTCCAGAGGTCATGAATTCAATTCCCAACAACCACATGATGACTCACAACTATCTCTAACTATACTACTATACTCCCATGGGATCTGGTGCCTTTTTCTGGTGTCTATATGAAACACCCATAGACAGACAAAACACCCATAAAATACATAAATTTTTAAAAATGAAAAAAAGGATTTGTTTTCAGTGTGTGTGCGCGTGGCAGGTGGAATATGTGTGCATGAATGCAGATACCCATGGAAGCCAGAAGCGTCGGGTGCCCTGAGGCTGGAGTTAAAGGTGGTTGTGAGCCACCTGCTATGGGTACTGGGAACCAGACTCCAGCCTTCTGCAAGAGCAGTAACCACTGAACCACCCCTCCAGCCCCTTCCCCCTCAGCTGAGTAGACAAAAAGAGGAGCGGCGTGTTATGAGAAAGAAGGGGGCTTATGTCTAGGAACAGTTTCTAGTCCTGGTCAGAGAGCCATGATTAGACAGAATCCATTTTTTTTCACAACAAGGAAAAGTGAAAGGAGTCATGGATATAAAGGATTATTAATTAGGATTATTAATCTAAACAAGGTTATGTTTGTTTACCTTAAAAATATCCCTACTTATTTAAGCAAAAGGCTCCTGCCCCACTTCAAGACAGGGTTTCTGTGTGGGGCCCTGGCTGTCCTGAAACTTGCTCTATAGACCAGACTCAGAGTTCCACCTCTCTCTGCTGGGGTTAAAGGTGTGCACCACCACCGCCTGGCTCAAAAGGCCTTTAATTCACCAATACACCTACGATTCACAGAAAACTATGCGAATGGACGACTTCTTCACACACACAAAAGCAATCGGTTTTTACCTGGAAAAACTTTTCAACACACTAGCTATCTGCAGAATACCCCGTGGTAGCTGCACTTTAAGAATGACCTATGATGACAAAATCTGGAAAGAAAGCCATACCTGACTAAGAAGTCGTCCGTGAAAAATGTTATTTACAACATTCAGAACTTGCTCAATCAGTTTCCTTTGGGACGTGGGGATGGGAGCGGGGAACCTGGCTCCCGTGGTCTCCAGTTCGCTGTATTTTATCCAGAAGCTCACAGAGAAACTCCTGGGCATCCTGTTGGGCGTAGCCTCGGAAAGCAGGGATCAGCTTCCACACAGAGTGGAGCATAGCAAACGGGGATACCAAGGCCCACTCTCCAGACCACATGACCTGGAACAGCCTGTGTAACTCGTGGCAAAGAGAACTGTACGGTGAACTCGGCTCCAGGGGCTGAATGAGCTCCATGTTTCGGCTCTTGGAGGATCCGCAGCTTAGGCCTGAGGAGAAACTTGGGTGTCTGGAGCACGCGAAGCCTTTCTCTTTCTCTTGGCCTTCATGCTTCTGCTGAGCTACCCCAGCTGTGACGGACGAGTGCTTACAGCGGGACTTATCGCTAGCAGCCACAGCCAGCCACTGGTTCAGGTCAAGCTTTAAGAAACACTGCCGGAAAATAAGCAAATGGCTCAACACTTGAAGAATAGAATTCATATAGCAAGTATTTCCTAAATTCCTCAGTCCTGTTACACCGGGGGTTACTACTGGCTTTCGCCTGATTAAGGAGTCTCTTACTTTTCTAAGTTTGCCGTTGTCCGAGGTAGGTGACAGCGCTTTCTCTTTAGCTGGTAATGCCGGAGCTGGTGGTGGCGCCGGCGCTGGAACCATTTCTATGGCAGCAGGCTCAGTGATGCACTGTAGGCGTAAACTCTTTAGGGGAGGTGTGTTTTCCAACTCGGCTTTCACCTGCGGCTCCAGCTCTTGTGGTCTTTTCTTCACTTCTCTCTTGGCTACCACTTTCTCCTGAATTTGTTCCTGCCTTTTTCTTCCAATGGCTGACCGTTCAAACCAAGTTCGAAAGATTTTACCCATGAGCATCCTGGGCCACAGGGCAGCGCACATTCGGTCTTCATTTCCAGGCTGAGATTGGGCACCACCGTGTAAGGAGGAAGAATCATCACGGGTATCCACAGGTGGTAAAACCCTGCTCCTCTGAACCGCACAGGGGTAATTTCTACTTTTGATTGCACTTAAGGTACTTCGTAGTGACTTCAGGTCTCCGGCTGCAGTATCATTTAGAACATAATCGTTACAAAGATAACAAAAAACGTACACGTCATTCACCTCGAACGCCACAGGGTGGCTGCTCTCTTGGAAGTGCTTCAGGGCGTGCTTGGCGATGTACCTTCCGCAGGCTACGTGGGAACAGCTGAGGCAAGCCCAAAGCGACTGGGTTGTGTTGCAGTCCACACAGAACCATTTCTGGGGGGTCGAAGATGGAATGACTGCGGGCGAGCTGCAGGTGCTCGATGTGCCTGCACTCGTCGATCCCTAGTGCCTCTGCATCATCCAAACAAGTCTCTCCTCATAACCCCGGAGGCACCTGAAAACTAAGCAGACCAAGGTCAAGATCTCAGCCAGGAGCCTCCTGATACTTTGCCCAAGACCAACATCGTAAATTTACTCCTGACCCTTCTGACACAATGCCAGGGCTTTGAGTTTCGTGTCTCTCTCTCTCTCTCTCTCTCCACTCTTGCCCACGTCTCACTTAGTTTTCTCCCTTGGGTCTGTGTAAAAAAAAAACTCTCGTTTTTGATTTTCTGTCATCACCTAGTGATGAAAAATTAGTGGCGTCTTTTGACTCGATTAGAATATATTTACCCAACAGACCGACAGCCGTTTCCAAAAGCACGTTCATACATAGATACATACAAATGGATGGATGAATAGATAAAACCAGATAGATAGATGGATGGATGGATAGATAGATGATAGATAGATAAAACCAGATGGATGGATGGATAGATAGATAGATAGATAGATAGAACCAGATAGATAGATAGATAGAACCAGATAGATAGATGGATGGATAGATAGATGATAGATAAAACCAGATGGATGGATAGATAGATAGAACCAGATAGATAGATAGAACCAGATAGATAGATAGAACCAGATAGATAGATAGATAGATAGATAGAACCAGATAGATGGATGGATAGATAGATAGATAGATAGAACCAGATAGATAGAACCAGATAGATGGATGGATGGATGGATAGATGAATGATAGATAGATAAAACCAGATGGATGGATGGATGGATAGATAGATAGAACTAGATAGATAGATAGATAGATAGATAGAACCAGATAGATGGATGGATGGATAAATAGATGATAGATAGATAAAACCAGATGGATGGATAGATAGACAGATAGAACCAGATAGATAGATAGATAGATAGAACCAGATAAATAGAACCAGATAGATGGATGGATGGATAGATGATAGATAAAACCAGATGGATGGATAGATAGATAGATAGATAGAACCAGATAGATAGAAAGAAAGAAAGAAAGAAAGAAAGAAAGAAAGAAAGAAAGAAAGAAAGAATTGGGGCTAGCAGTATGAGGGGTTAAAACAAAATTGAGTCGAATTGGTAGGAGTCAGAGAGGTTTGTAACCACAAAGGGTTACAGACACAGCCCAGTGGAGGGTCTTTCCCTAGCATGAGGTCACTGGGTTTGATCTCCAATGCCACATAACAATACATAGAAAACACAGCAGAAAGTCCTATCTTAAAAACAGTTGACCACAATGCATTCTTTCATTGACTTAAGTAAAACTGAACATGAACTTCAAGATGAAGGTGAGTACCTAGTAACAGAACACAAGACCACCGTGGTGCACCATGTGACGAGAAGGCGCTGTGCAACTGTAATTACTGCAATGGTCCTTGCAGGTGTCACCTCCAGGGACCGAGGAAAACTGCAAGTAAACTTGACTGCTGGTGCCTTCTTTGTGACGAATCTGTTATCAGTCCCAACCCCCAAATCTCAAATGCTCATTTTAAATATAATTCTCAGCCAGCAGAGGTGCACACACCTTTAAACCCAGCACTTGGAAGGCAGAGGCAGGTGGATCTCTGTTGAGTTCGAGACCAGACTGGACTACAGAGTGAGTTCCAGGACAGCCAAGGGTGCAGAGAAACCCTATCTCAAAAAACAAAGAAATAAAAGTAATTTAATTCTCTTTCTTCAAATTTTCCTCAGGTCTGAAATATGATGAAAGTTATAGAAAACATGAGATTCAAAATATATCGTTGCTTGTAAGACATCAATAATTAATAAACATCATTATCCTATATTCTTTTATGTACTCAGGGAAAACCTTGAAGTCACTATTTTTAGTCTGTGTGTATGGGTGCTTTGTCTGGACACATGGAAGCATACCAAGCCTCCTGGTGCCCGTGGAGGTCCGAAGAGGGTGATAGACCCCCTGGAGCTAGAGTTGTAAGCTCCTGTGTGGATGCCAGAAACTGAACCTGGGTCCTCTGCAAGCTAGCGCCGTTAACTGCTGAGCCACTTCCTGGCTGAACATCTCCTGGCAATTAATAACATAGCTCTAGGTACATCTTAACTGCTAATAATTTAAAATACGAATCAGAAGAAAGAAATGGCTGGGATTATGGCTCGGTAGCTGAGTGCTTGCCCAGCACACTCAAAGCTCTGGATTCAAACAAAAATCAATAATAATAAAATGCTATAAAGTATAATTCCTTCAAGTTGACCACTTTTCTCAGTGGTTCCTTCTTAGTCATCTCAGGATTTAATTCATGGATGTCAATGCTATGAAGAAGCTGGGTATGGTGGCACACGCCTTGAACCCCAGCAGACAGGCAGGTCTCTGAATGCAAAGACAGTTTGGTCTACATAGTGAATTCCAGACCATCCAGCACTATGCAGTGAGTTCTAAGTGGATATTTGCACTTTAAAAGGGGTCGTATCTTTTTAAACTCTAACGATGTGTGAAACAGAAGGTGGAATCACAGATCTTGAAAATTGTAGCACCAGAGAGTGGTGGCGCACGCCTTTAATACAGCACTCGGGAGGCAGAGGCAGGCAGATCTCTGTGAGTTCGAGGCCAGCCTGGTGTACAGAGCTAGTTCCAGGACAGGCTCCAAAACTACAGAGAAACCCTGTCTCGAAGAACAAAAATGAAAACAAACAAACAAAGCCAGAAAACAAAAATTAAAAAAGAAAACTGTAGAGCAGGGGACCTGTTTATGCTGCCAACTGCGAAAGAAGGAAGTAATTGGTAAACAGCCAAGGGGCGAGCAGAGGTGGAGGCGGGGCCAACAAGGTAGCTGCGCCCAGAGAATCCAGCCTGCTCTCCAGCCTGCAGACACAGCAGCTAGGTCACCAGCCCCAAAGTCCATCTCACAAAGATCTAAGAGGCTAAAGGGAGAGGAGGATGGGGGCATTTCTTGACCCTTCTTATTTTCCTCTCGGGGTTCAAAGCCCTTCTTTTCATTTGAGAATCAACCGCTCCGAGAGGAGGCATTAACTCTGCTTGGCTCCAGAGCGTCAGATAGATGGTTTGGGTGCAGTCATTTGAGAGAGCAATGACAAAACAGAAAACTGGCATCACTCCCAGATTCTGGGAAAATATTACTTGTGTGTATATAATAGCATTAAATCCTTACGATGCTCTCAGAGAAAGATGCTGGTAGGGACTTAAATCATCTGAACTATCCTCCTACACATTTTTAAATGTGTCACATATGACATAAGCGGCTATTAGACGGCTGTTTAAAACCACATATATACTTACAAATGTTGTAAAAGCTTCTGGTTACTTTCCAGGGTTTAAAGACAATGAATTTTTAATTTGCTCACTGCCTTAATGCGCTGTTTCATGACTCCGTGAATAGGGTTCAGACCTAACAGACTCGAGAACAAAATTTTATAAGCAAGTCTTGTAAGAACAATGAAGCCTGAAATTTTTCTATGCAAGTTCTCTTCTTAAAAAGTGCTAGTCATGGGCCTGGAGAGAAGGCTCAGAGGTTAAGAACACTGGCTGCCCTTCCAGAGGACCTAAATTCAATTCTCAGCACCCACATGGCGGCTCACAACTATCTGTAATGAGATCTGGTCTCCTCTTCTGGTGTGTGTATGCAAAAAATATAAATCTTAAAAAAAAAAGTACTAGTTATAAGATAAAAGAGATAGCTCAACAGGTAAGACAGGCTATTCCAGAGGACCCAGGTTTGGTTCCCAGTGTCCACATGACAGCTCACAACCTTGGTTCCAAGGGATCTGACACCATCTTCTGGTCTCTGAGGGCACCAGGCATGCTTAGGGCCTATATAACTACATGCAGGCAAAATACCCATACACATAAAAAAATAATTTAAAAAAATGCTACTGAAGCCGGGCGGTGGTGGCGCACGCCTTTAATCCCAGCACTTGGGAGGCAGAGGCAGGCAGATCTCTGTGAGTTCGAGACCAGCCTGGTCTACAAGAGCTAGTTCCAGGACAGGCTCCAAAACCACAGAGAAAACCCTGTCTCGAAAAACCAAAAATAAAATAAAATAAAAATAAATAAAAAATAAAATAAAATAAAATAAAATGCTACTGTGACTATTTTCATAAAGCAGATTATGAATGCAGCAAGAAAAGTAATACATATTTGTCAGTCTTGTATTCAAAATTCTTTCGGTCATGTGTATGCCAGCCAAAAGAGCCACTTCCAGTTGACTTCCAGAATTCATCCCCATTCCATAAAGACTTTACAGGCAAGAGTGATGGTTCCCCCTAACTTCCTAGGGGACTTTGGTTGCACCACTGCTCCAGGAGCCAGTGTCAACCTCTGTATTTACCTGCACACGTTCCTACTTCGTCACCCATGGGAGGTGACGGAAGGGCTACCAAACACTTTTTAACGTGGACTGGTAGAAGAAAACCAACTTCAGAAAGTTGTCCTTTGACCTTTGTACATGCCTGCAAGAACATGCACACACGCACACGAACACAAATAAAATTAAAACCCAGGGGCTTAATGAAAACCCCAAGAGTATATAGCAATATTGTTTTAGCAAATTCTCAGAGCAAGCAAATAACTTGAATTGCAAATCCGTTCTGTTTTTGAGACAGGGTCTCATTGCGTGGCTCTGGCAGTCCTGGAGCTCAGTATGTAGGCTTTGAACTCACAGAGATCCACTTGCTCCCACCTCCTAAATGCTGGAATAAGGGCGTGCGCCACCACGCCGGACCCCTTGATTGCAAATCAATTCCTTTATAACATTTACACCAATGGCTGAAAACAGGAAGTCATTGCATCTAGTTCCGGGATACTCTCAAAAATCAAATACTTCTGGACAAAGTTGCCACTCTCCCCAACAGTCAGTCCTCATCAGTTCCTGGGTCTTAACGTGACAAGGTAATTCTACTTTGTTTTAAGGGGCTTCTATGGTCATACCAAGCTAACTATGCCCAATCTCATCTGAGTCTAGAATTTACTGTCATTTACCGGCCTGTAGTTTGTGGTGAGCTTCTTGCTCAGTCTAAGTGCTGAGATTACAAGTGTGGCAACCACTGTTCTCTATCTTAATTACATGTTATAGAAACAATTTTTATAATTATTACAAAATTAAAGTCTTCAAAGAACAAAGAATTAATTTTAGAGTCCTTTACATGGCACATTACTCAGCTCTCAACACTGCGCTCACTTTTCTGCTCCCATCCATCTAGATAGTTCCCAAATATCTGCTTAAGTGTTTTTATATTGAAATGGCTGTGCTGACTTCCATTTTTTAAAGATCTTTGGAACTGGAATGTGAATTCGTGTTTTACAGGAAGCAGGCACACAATTTTATATAAACATACACCTTTTACTTCAAGTAAGAAAAGACATGGATAGGGATATACCATGGACTGTACAGTGCTTGCCTAGTGTACAGAAGGCACTGGGTTCAGACCCAGGAACCACAACGAAGCAGGCGCCACTGTCGGTTAAACAGAGAAGAACTGTATTAGAGCAATCCTGAAAGTCAGGCATTGTGCGCACGCCTATTTTTCAAGGCTGAGGCAGGGTATCAAGTCCCACAGCAGGCTGGGCTGCCTGGGAGACCCTGACTCAAGGGGTGGGGAGATGAAGCAGAAATCTGGAGACTTCCCTCAGGGAACATATGTTAAAGCAGGAGACATACTGCATCTCTCTTCTGACAAAGGTGATTTTTATAGTAAGTTCTGTCTTCTAAAGTTTTACATTATTGTTGTGTGTGTTCACATGTGTGAATGATGGGGATGGGGACCACATGTGAACCACACGTGACACAGCATGTAAAGGTCTCCCACGTCCCCCTTCCACTGTGGGTTCTGGGAAAGACGCTAAACTCAGATCCTAGTGTGCTGAGCCATGCTGTAGGCGGGAGTTTCTTTTTACTGTTGGTAAAGAAGGTTACAAGCGGGAAGATTAGCATTTTCCAGCAGCGGAAAAATAGGAGGAAATGGCCATTTTAGTGGGAGGTAGGCTTCAGGTTTTATAGACAGCAACAGTTACATGAAATGACTTTATCCCTAGTTTATAGCTAATTAGGTAAACCCTGCCCACTCCTTGTAAATAATTTTCAGTTTTCTATTTACTCCGCGCGACCACTGCAGAAGCTCGCCCTCTTAAAGGGATGTTGGTGAAACGTCCAGGGTCAAGGCACAGTGTTTGGTGGACAGAAGGGGGTTCAATATTTTTGAAGGGACAAATTATTGAGTGAAGTGAACACAATAGGCTCTCTAACTCTCCCTGCTCCCCTATTATTCCTATTGTGTGTGTAGGCGCCATGCCAGTCACGCTGTATCTCCTTCCCTTCCCTCCAAAAGGCTCTGGCTAGTCTTTCTTCCTATAGAAATCCAGGATCCTCCTGATTAGGCAGTGAAGAATTAGCCTTTCCCTGGGTATCCTTATATCCTAACTGAAGGGCTCTTTTTTTTCTTTTTCTTTTTTGATAAAACTAGTACAAAGCAAACTCTACCGCCAGGATAGTTGGATTCCTTTCTCCTGTTCCAGCTCACAAGAAATGAATTTGGGGCCAATATAATCAGTGTCCCACCAATAGACAGACATCAACTTCCTGCGGCAAACTTCAGCAACAATAGCGGAAACATTAAAAACCAAAAGGAAACACTGCATTCAACTATGGGGCTAATAAACTGAATTAAGATACGTTTTGTATAAAACGTATTATTTAGTGTGCTCATGATGTGATCTAACAAATACATCTTCAGATGACAAAAAAAAGATTTCGTCCCTTTGACTGACAAAAATCACATTAAGAATGAAGTCTTAAGTTCTCACAGCGTCTGAAAATGCTGACAAGAGCTACGTAATAGTGGCACTGGCCTTTGATCCCAGCAGAGGCTGGTGGATCTTTCGGTTTGAGGTCAACCTGGTTTATGGTGTGAGTTCCAGGAGAGCCAGGGCTACATAGAGAAACCCTGTGGAGTTGGGGGCCGGAGAGTGTGGAGAGAGAGAGAGCGCAGGAATAAAGCCCAAGAAAAGTAGCCAAAACATTCAAACGTTCTGTACTGTACTCACTGAACTATTTGCTCAATATCAGAATGTCTCAAATTAAATTTGGAATAGTAATAAATACTAGAACGAAAAATCCAACACCATTGCATAAGGCTGGGAGTGCCGACCAATCTCTGTGAGTTCCAGGCCAGCCGAGGCTACCCAGTGAGGTCCTGTCTCAAAATAACAGCAAACAAACAAACATGCAAACAAAACTTCGGAAATCTGGAACTCAGAGGAGAAACCCCGAGTTGCCACGTGCTTAAAATCCTTTTCAAATTACCCGAGATGCTAAATTAAAAAACAATTACGTGTTCTAAAAAAACCCACACTTTTAGGGCAACTAGGTGCTGAATCTCATTGAGATTGTGAAATCTTCAAAGATGCGTTCAGCTCCCGTTTGGCTATGCATATGATTACAAATACAGTCAATTCTTCTTTTGTTTACACTAAATACTAGTTTTGAAGAATCCTCACACTTTAATTGCCAGCTCAAAGCTTTCTTCATCCCTACTGCGGTCCCACAGAGAGACCTAACTGATCTCAGCAGATAAAAAGAAATTGAAGACCAGGGACTGAAGATCGTACTTCCATGCTAATTTCACAGCTCGGCTATTTGCAAAGTGCTATAAATTACGGTTTAAAAGGGTGGGGCATCTTGAGGAAGTGACCCTTCCAAACTACTAATCCTACAGGAAATTATCCAGCTATCAGTAGAATTTACATCGGCATAATATATTCCACTTGAGACAGTGACTATTTTTCACTTTTTTTCTTAAGGTGGCGGCGCGGAGCGACCTGTCCTCTAACTCCGAGCAGCCGTTTCCCATCCTCACGGGGACATCACTCCTACACCGTCCCTTCTCCTCAAAGACGGCGGAAATGTTTTTAGAAAGCTGGTATTCCAAACTCCGACCTGATCCAGGGTCGGTGGGTGGCGGCAGGTGCTGGCTGCCGCACTGAGACCTGTCCAGCGCAGGGAAGGCGACTGTCACCTCCCGGCGATCGGAGCTTGCGACGGGGATGTGGTTAGATGTCCCCGACGCTTGCACCGCAGCGCCCGGCCCGCATCCGCCCCGCATCCGCCCCGCGCCCCCTCCGGCCGCGGCCGCGCTCCGGTCCACCTGCAGCATCTCCGGTACCCGGGAGGTGGCCGGCTGGCTCCCGCTGCAGGACCGCAAGACGCACCGAGACTTCCCAGAGGCGCCGATTCGAAGTTCGCCGCCCTCGCCACCACGCGCCCCTGGGCTCGCTCCTTCCGTCCGTCCACGGCCCCCTCTCCACCCGCAGGATCCCCTCCCAGACTGCCTGTGGGCGGGAAAACTCTGTCAGGTGCCTCCCGCCCCCGGGCTCCCGTCCGACGTCCGCTCCTGCAGGGGAGCCTCGCTCAACCAACCGCCGCCGCCGCCGCCGCCGCCGCCGCCGCCGCGCGCCCCTCGCCACTCACCGGCTCGAGCCGGAGCAGCCTTCTTAGCGCTCGCAGCGCGCCCTGGGCCCCCTAGTCCGGCCACATCTGCGGGGGGAGGGGGGCAGGGTCCGTGATACGTCAACGGAGACGCGAGACCACGCCCATTAGCCACGCCTCTATGGTGGGCCACGCCCATAGCCACGCCCCCGGCATCCGAGCGCTGACAGCGCAACCCGGGCTCCCTATTCCCGTCTCATTTGGGGGGCGGGAGGGGGGGGGAAGGAGGGCAGGGGTCCTCCGTGCTACGTCAGCGGAGACGCGAGGCCACGCTCACCGCCACACCTCTGCACGAGGCCACGCCTACGTGCGAGACCACGCCTCCGGCATGCCCGCACGAGCGCAGCGCTAAAGGACGCAGACGCTGGCTGTGCCGGCGTCCCACGCGAGGCACGTGGCTCTTCATGGACAGCAAGTCTTACTCTCTGGGAGGACTTTCTTCTTGCCGCAGCCTTCGAGGTCGGGACGGCTGAACCCGCTGAGACCCGCACGCGTGTGAGATGAGGAAGAGTCCACAGACAGGTGCGTGTTCACAGAAACGCCACTCGCTCCAACTTCGAATCGTCCAGCAGCGACCCGAGCCAATTCCTTATGTTAAAAACCTGCTCAAATTCGCAGCTGTAGAACTCCCACGCCCCCCCCCCCCGTGATAAGATTTAACACGGGAATGCTTCTAATTCACCACGATCCATGTAAGGCAATGACGTTTGTGGGAAAGAAATGGAGAGAATAGACAGGGTGGGGTGGGAGATCTTCATCGCCAAGTCAGGCCTAAAGGTCCATAAAAATCTGTTCATCAGCGGGAGCGGTGACTCGTTAAGAGCGCAGGCTGCTCTTCCAGACAGAGGTCCCGGGTTCGATTCTCAGCACCCACAAGACCGCACACAACCCTCTGTTACTCCAGTTCCAAGGGAACTGACGCCGGCTTCGCTCTCCCTGGGAAATAGGCACACACACAGATATTTATACACTTAATAGCAAAGTTTAAACAAAAATAATGCTTGCTGAGCTCTGGAAGCCATTTCTTCCTCAGCTGCCCCGTGAGACACTAAAACTGAAGGCACGCTTTCCAAAGAGAGCTCACTAAAAAGACAGACAACCTCGCGAACTTAATATCAGTGGAAAGCTAAATCTAACGTTATTTAGGGCAAGCTAAAATTGTTCGTATTTTTAAACACACAAGCATACTCTAGGGATTATCTTTCAGTAGTGCGGTAACGAGAAAAATGAGCACCGTAGTTGAATGGATAAAATGTCTTAACTGAAGGGAAACGGCAAATTTAACATCTAGCATAGCAACCTCTTGGGAGTTCTTAGGTTGGTAACAAAATAACAGTAGAATGTAAAAGAGTCCTATTTTAAAATACCAAATACATGCGTGAAAGTTACAAATACAGGAAATCCAGTTTTACAAATAAAGACAAAAGAGAAGGAGCGAGTCTGCATAAGGTAAACACCTGGTTAGCACACAGTTCAATTTTTTTCCGTCGGCATTTTCCCCTCCACACACAAATTTAATATTCATTTGTGTGTGTCTGGGGGGGGGGGCACTGAATGCCACAGTCTGCATGTGGCCAGAGGAGAACTTGTAAGTGTTGCTTTTCTCTGTTAGGATGTTCTCTATCTTGAGTACAAGTTTGGATGGTGCCATGCGGGAAAAGGATACCAGAGAAAACCCTTTCTAGAGTTAATTACGGAGAATGCTGTAACACTTTATGTTTATTGTTACAAATTCCCAATGCTACAGTCTAATCCCACTCTTCCCATCCCACCAATTAAGGTGGGCTCTCACTTCTCGGAGTTCAGGACCTGTCTCTAGTAATCATATTAGGGCGGTGTCGTCAGACGATTCTTTAATTTCTCTCTCTC